CTATCATCTATCATCTATCTATCTATCATCTATCTATCTATCTATCTGTCTGTCTGTCTGTCTGTCTGTCTGTCTGTCTGTCTGTCTATTTATCTAGCTATCTAGCAATCTAGCTACCCACACACACACATCATACAGACAACATTTATGGTAGAACCCCAATATGTTCTAATGTTACCTTTGTACTATGTGTGTGTGTGTGTGTGCACGCGCACATACACACACATATACATATACACACATACTCACATGCACACACACACACACACACACAGTGTCCATGTTTGGAAGGAATGAAAAGAGCAAAGGGCAAAGGAATGGAGATTGAAGGTTGAAAGACATGAGAAAACCTTTCCTTTTCTCCAGGTCCACCAAGATTTAAACTCCCACATGCAACTCTTGTCTTGGGATGTAAATGGTGACTTGGGAGTTTTGGGGACAACACAAGGCTCTCTCATGAGAACGTACTCTGCCATTCAGCCTGTTTCTGAAAGGGCCTGGTTGCAGGAGGGCCTTAGCACATCAAAGGTAACAATTCCATCACTGGCTGAACTGCTAATCCATGCCTGTCCATCAGCCCAGGGAGATCTCTTCCATGTAAAGGGAACATGTAAGAGCAGATAAAAGAGGGAAGATCCTGCCCATTCTCATGCAATAGGCAAATAAAAGAGAAAGAATAACAGGGAAGGAGGGATTGGAGATAGGAGCGCATCAGACCTGTTTTCAGTGTAATCTTGTGTGGCTTAGCCTGTCATGTGGATCAGAGGTGGTATTCAGCAGGTTCTGACCAGTTCTGGAGAACAGGTAGCAGAAATTTTGAGTAGTTCGGAGAACCGGTAGTGGAAATTTTGAGTAGTTTGGAGTACCACCTCTGACTGGCCTCGCCCCCATCTATTCTCTACCTCCTCCCAAGTCCCAGATGATGGGCTGGGTCTTCTTTGGTTGCCCTGCACAGGAGAATGGAGCTGGAAAGCAGGTTAGTGGGGTGGGGAGGGGATTTTGCAGTAACCTCCCCCTGCCATGCCCACCAAGCCACACCCACCAAGCCACGCCCACAGAACCGGTAGTAAAAAAATTTGAATCCCACCACTGATGTGGATGCATATTCCATTGCTCCCTCCCAAGATAGAGGTGAGGTGAAGAGAACTATGAGGCCAACTTACAGGGGTAAGGAAAGCGGAACCAGGGTGCTATGGACAAGATTTCTCCTCTAGCATCTGTTCTGGCCTTGAATCCGTAGGCACTGGCATCCCGAGGAAACACGTCCGTCACTGTCAGAATGTAACAAAGCAGCCAGACCACCAAAATGGCTAGTATGATCTGAAGAGGAGATATAGAAAGGCAGAACACAATAATCTCCCACCTATATACCCACACTGAAAACAAGTCGGAAGACAGGAAGTGACAGTAGGAAAAGAACATGGATTTCTAAACTATTGTCCATCTACTCTGTGCTACTCTGCCTAGTTTTCACTTCCGAGACTTCTGTAATCCAGTCCTGGGAGTATTTATACTGCAAATAAATCCCACAGAGCTGAGGGAACCTTATTCCTGGAGAATTGTCTAAAATTGCAGATTGAGAATTTTAAATATTCAAGAATGCAGATTTGAATATTTCAGCCAAAATCAAACTTTTGTGTTAAGAGATCTCTTCTACATTCCTTCTCCTTTACTCCTAACAAATGGACACGATTGATTGGCAAAAGCTTTTACAATCTCCCTCTCTTTGTCATGTTTAGTTTTAATTAATTCCCAGTCTCTCCTTTGGCCCGTTTTGCCTTCTTGCTGCATGGGAAGTTTCTGAGTCAATTGACCTTTATGGTGGATAAGAGAGAATACTGCATGTGAATGGCTTATTTATGCATGCTCAGAGTAACCTTCTACGCGGGAGAAGAATAAGCTGTTTTTGTCAACTGATGCCACTGGGGAACCTGGCAGGATAAAAAACAGCAAATTCTGACCAAATTTTTTTCAGGGGGGGGGGGGTGCATACAAAATGTGCCCACAATAAAATGATGAGTAAACGACAATCTCCTTACTGGAAACATCTTGAAGATCTGTATCCGGATCAAAATGCAGCCTTTCCCATATTTATACCCAGGAAGGAGAAAAGAAACATTTCGTAGGTACTGAGCAAACAGAACAATTAAAAAAATAGACCTGTTCAAAGGAGAGAAAAGATACGAGTGAACAGATTAGGAGCAATTGGATGCAGAAACCCTGGGATCAATTCATATAATTTCGAACTGAATTTATTGGATTATACAGAGGTAGTTGTTTATCATGAACTTACCATTATCTAGGCATTTCCTTACACAAGTCTGATACCTTGTAGTTATATTAGGACTACACCTCTCCAAACTCCAGCTGGCAGAGCAGCAGCTATGCTTATTAGAAATCTTGGGAGGGAAATGATTTGGAGGGCATCCGATTAAAAGAAGGCAGGTTTTGCAATTTTTTACTAAACCACCAGTTGGATCAGCCATCTGTCACATGAGCTGGCCCTGCATATGCCCTGGGTTGACAACTTCAGAGAGCATCTGATCTGATTTTCTGATTTGTGCTGAGTAATTTCACAAAAGTACTTCATTCCCTCCCACCACCAAGTCCCAAAACTGAGACGAGTGTTAACACAACATCTTTGTGAATTTGCCTCTCACGACTGTGTGATCTTTTGCATAGGCATATCTAATCATGGCTAACTTAGGTAACAAACGTACTAGTTGAGAATCAGAGTTGAGGTTCAGCAGAGCCAGGGTTTTGGCTGGTGGGTTTAGAACAGGGGTCTCCAAACTTGGCAACTTTAAGACTTGTGGACTTCAATTCCCAGAATTCTCCAGCCAGCATAGCTTTTTGTGGGAGTTGAAGTCCACAAACTTAAAGTTGTCAAGTTTGGAGAGCTCTGGTTTAGAATCTGCTTTCATCTTCTGACTGTGCTCATCACTCACCAGCCTTGGAATATTGATGCCCTGAGAGGTTAATGAGCCTCAGTCCAAGTCCAACAGCATTCAGCTGAGACCTGCTGAGGGCAGGCCAAATATATGATAAATGTATCAGTTGGACTTGAGCCAAATCAGATAACTGTCAGTGCTCTTACCAAGAAAAGTTCAGTGCTTCTTCCCACAACATATTCCTCCTGCTCTTGCTTCCTTGCCTGTCTAGAGTGACAGAACCATAGTGAACCAATGGGTGAGTATAAAATATGAGGTTCCAATTTAGGTCCATAAAGCGAACTTCTCTGAAGTCAGCAGTCGGAATCACAGAGAATGAATGTGGTGACTGAAAGATTCATAATATCTATTTTACATATTCTATTCATGATCCTTAAATTGTGAATTATGGATAGTTCAGCCACCAGTAACCTATATGTAGGTTATTCCTTAATTTGTAAAAATATGTGGTCTTTCTTTGGTTGTAATATATAGCAGAACTGCAGAGCTACAAAGCCCTTAGGAATAGAAATAAGAGATTCATCATGTTCTTACATTGCCACTGTCCTATCCTGCTTATCATGCACACTTGCACTCATAAGTGTGCACAGGCACTGTCTTTCTGAAGATTTGAACCACTGGCAACCAACCATCCAGAACTTCACACTCTGCTTCACTTGGCTTGGTCTGGCAGTTGAGTGAGGAGATGAGAGGGCATCGGGCCAATGGGCCAGTTTGTAATCTCTGCAGTTCACTCCTCTGAGATCCTGCAGTAGTTCTGTAACTCTACAGCTTTTCCTCCACTCTTACATCAATCTGAAAACCTGCTGTACTGAAAAAGGAGCACCTACAATGCAGCAATGCCCCAGTGTGATCCAGCTCTATCTCCTGCTGCTTGGAAGACAGAGAGACCTATTAAGGAGACAGTAGGTGTGACTGTCAGGGGCCCAATGTAGCCGAGCAAGGCTCCAGGAACGCCCAGGAATCCAATTGCCACTTCCACAAGGCTGGAAATGATGATGGCTCCTTGGATCTAGGGCAGAAACAGGAAAAGGATGAATTAACTTGATAAAGATGCATTGCAAATGCAGTGTTTCAGCAAGACCAGCATGACTGTATTTCACTCACGATATTTGTAATAATCCTAATTTAACAAGAATAGCCCACTATCTAAAGAGGTTAGACATTTCACAGATTGACTGATTTCCTGAAGCCTGGCTTAGGAGGAAGAACTCTTAAGTGGGAAGAGAAAACAGATGTTTCAATGTTGGCTATAAGCTGTCCGCACTTGAACAAGCAGACTAAGGAAGCCAAGGCAGCCACTCGGTTGTCCTCTTCCTCTCCCCCAACCATGATAAGATGCAACTTACTATTTAAAAAGATAGAAATGTTTAGAAGGATGCATGCATTTTATGATATTCTTCATTGTCACTTCATTGAGAGATGAACAGCTAGCAACTGTAGTTTAAGGCAAAAAGCCTGCTTTCTTGCAGGGATGTATGTAACTTTATTGGTCTTTCAAATGTATGTGCCCAACTGGTTTGAGTTGGGTTATATAACCCTTTGTAAAAGAACACTTTTGTACAAATTGGGTTCCAACCTGCCCTTATTCACTGCAACCTTAATCCCTAGCATTAGGGTAGCAAAGAGCCACAGGAGGACTTCCAGCAAGCCCTGAACTTAAAATACATAAATCCCCCCCAGCTGAGCCTCCATACCTGGGTCCTGCAATCACCCAGTATAGTTTCTTGCTAGCCAGCTTTGAGCAATAAATGCAAAACTAGTCAGTCTAATCCAGAGATCCTTCAACTTGAAGGCTATCCTAAGGCCATGATGGCGAACCTATGGGATGCCTGCCAGAAATGGCACGCAGAGCCACTTCTGCCGGCACGTGAGAGGTCACCCAGAAGAGCCCCACTGCACATGCGTGCGCCACCTTCCCCACCAGCTGATGGTTGGGTATCTGGTGCGCATGCGCGGGTGTGTGTGGGAGATACACGTGCATGCACAGGGACACGCGGTGCAGGGGAATCACGCGCATGCGCAGGGGGCGTGGGGGGGATGCACATTGCTCTCTGGGTGCTGGCATGCATGCGCGCACAAGCGCACTCATGCAAGCGCATAAGCAATTTTCAGCACGGGAGCCCCAAAAGGTAGCCACCACTGACCGAAGGGCTGCACTCTAACCCAGAAGAGTCAGGGTTTGGGGATTTAAAGAGTGAATGGATGCCTCAAAGAAAAGTTATTAAAGCATCTATTTTCTCCTTTAAAATCAAATTAACTTCTCCCACAGATGTGAATCCAAATTTTAAGCCCCACCCACTCTGTCAGCCATGAAAGATATTTTGATGAGATGCACATAGGGGCTCCCTGACATTTGTTGCATCAATCCCTACCAACAAAGTTTCCTCCCCTCTCTCGCACTGCCCAAAAATCCAAACAAATATAGAAATTTTTAGGAAACTTCTTGGTGACCTAATCTTAACCCTAACCCTAATCTTGTATACCTTAGTTCCTTCAAAAACATACTAAATATAGCTCAACACCTCATAATAGGACACAGTTGAAGCAATTATTTTAAATCTTGTCTATGGAGATTCCCAGTCATCCAGGTCATGGTTATCCCAGAGGTGTTTTTTCAAAAGGCAACTGGATTTTTCCCTGCCTTAAAGACATTTCGCTTCTTATCCAAGAAGCTTCTTCAGTTCTGACTGAACTGAAGTCAGAACTGAAGAAGCTTCTTGAATGAGAAGCGAAATATCTTCGAGGAAAAATTAAGTCCAGATGTCTTTTGACAAAGCACCTCTGGGACATATTTGAAATCTTAGTAAATAGCACATTTTAATTGCTTCATCTTGCCTAACATGCCATCTAGCTAACAAAGAAGAAATGGAAAAAGGTAAAATCTGATACACACTTCCCATAATGGGTATGGAAAATTATTTATAAGTGCAATAACCATATTTTCTTGGAATAAATAAAAGACAAACCCCAAAAAAGAAGAAAATCTGAAAGAGGATTCATAAGGATTAAAAATATTTATGTTTATAACTTTGTATTCCAAGGGAAAATTCAAGAGCAAAAGCAAGAAAATAAATAACTAAATCAAATAAATCTAAAAGACAGCTTTCTGAATTGAAGGTTTGTCCCTTATAATAAAGGACATCTGGAGACTGTACTTATAAGTAGAAGATGTGGGAGTTTCCTGCCATAAAAAATATATATTTGAAGGCTATAAAGAATTCCTCCAGATCACTATTTCCCAATGATGACCGGTTTCCTGAGAAATGTGGCTGGGTGTATACCAGGGAAGGCTGGGATCAAACTTACTTCTGTCATTCTTGGTTGCCATATGTGAGAAGTGTTCAGTGGTAATGTCCAATTGCCATAGATTTGGTCTGCGTGAATTAAGCAAGATATTGGGGTTAAAGAGCACAACTAGACAATAAATTTACTTTTTCCAGAGAAAGGTAATTCTATTTCAGAACAGCCTGAATCCCAGAGATAATAGTGGACATGGGACAATATATTTCTTCTCCCTCCATCCCATTTATTGATATTATGGTGGTAGGTAGTATGTGTTGAGGAATAAACATTCGTTAAAAATTGGGTATAAATGTATGCTTTTCCTGATTTTCTTATATGGAAATGGCAGTTGGGTATGCCAGGAGAAACAAAATAAATTGAATGCAATGAGGATGGAGTCCTTAAGAAGTATGTGTAGTAAAACAGGAAAAGCTTGGGTCAAGGTGAAGAGGCTGATGATTGAATGTAAACTGAATGGAAAACAGAGGGACCAGGGTAAAAGAAATGCTATGATTCCAACCCTAACTTATAAAGTAAGAATGAATGAATGGGCTGAGAAGAAGAAGACAGAGAAGGTCTTTATTGAATGGAGTTTATGACAGAAATAAAAAAGAAAAGTAATATAGGAAAGTGTGTGACCATGGTGGATGCAAGGATAGAAAGATATGGAAAGCTATAGTGAATGAACTAAATCTATCTATATTGCTTTTTCTTACTGTATGCACTTGATGTCTTTGGTTTATAATTAGTTATTTTTTTTATACTCTGCATAACATTGCTTAACCCCAAAAGTTTGTATCCAGACCCCAAGATGACTTTGAATGTATGTATTTTGGACTTTCGTAGACCTCCTAAACGTTGTAGTTTCCAAAGTCAAGGGTAAAGAATCTTAGAAATTCTAATCAGAAAATCTGGGAGGCAACCGATTTGTCTATCGCAATGTTTCTCAACCGTGACAACATATCTAGATGTCTGGCTGGGAAATTCTGGTTCTTGTTTACAGTCACATCACATCACATCTACAAGTAGCCCTCGACTTACAGCCATAATTGAGCCCAAAATTTCTGTTGCTAAGCGAGACAGTTAAGTGAGTTTTGCCCCATTTTATGACTTTTCTTCAGTTGTTAAGTGAATTTGGCTTCCCCATTGACTTTGCGTGTCAGAAGGTCGTAAAAGGTGATCACATAATCCCAGAACACTGCAACCGTCATAAATCTAAACTAGTCGCCACACAGCAACTTTGATCACGTGACCATGCAATGGTCGTGTGAAAAAACCAGTCATAAGTCACTTTTTTTCAGTGCCGTTTTAACTTTCAACAATCACTAAATCAATGTTTGTAAATCGAGGATTACCGTATATACTCGAGTATAAGTCGACCCGAATATAAGCCGAGGCACCTAATTTTACACAAAAAAACTGGGAAAACTTATTGACTCGAGTATAAGCCGAGGGTGGGAAATGCAGCAGCTACTGGTAAATTTCAAAAATAAAAATAATTAATTTGGGAAACGATCTCACTATCTCACGTCGCCTCGGGAAGGGAAAGGCAAAGCGCTTTTTGCCTTTCCCTTCCCGGCTGGGGCTGTTGGGAGTCGCTGCCGCCTGCCTTTCCCTTCCCGGCTGGGGCTGTTGGGAGTCGCTGCCGCCTGCCTTTCCCTTCCCGGCTGGGGCTGTTGGGAGTCGCTGCCGCCTGCCTTTCCCTTCCCGGCTGGGGGCTGTTGGGAGTCACTGCCGCCTGCCTTTCCCTTCCCGGCGGGGGCTGTTGGGAGTCGCTGCCGCCTGCCTTTCCCTTCCCGGCTGGGGCTGTTGGGAGTCGCTGCCGCCTGCCTTTCCCTTCCCGGCTGGGGGCTGTTGGGAGTCACTGCCGCCTGCCTTTCCCTTCCCGGCTGGGGCTGTTGGGAGTCGCTGCCGCCTGCCTTTCCCTTCCCGGCTGGGGCTGTTGGGAGTCGCTGCCGCCTGCCTTTCCCTTCCCGGCTGGGGGCTGTTGGGAGTTGCTGCCGCCGGTGCGGCCCCAGTCCCGCGTCGCCTCGGGAAGGGAAAGGCCACGGCTTGGAAGGCCGCCGCTGGAGCGAAGCTGCGTGCAGCCGCTGCGCTAGCATCGGATCGGGCACGCCGGACGGTTCCAACCGAGCCCCGAGTGTTGTCTTTGGCGCCCGCCCAGCGCCGCGGAGCTCCCTGTACCGGGAGAAGGGGAAGACACCCCCCTGGGGCGGGGCAGGGAGAGGAGCTTCTCCCGCCCGCCCCTCTTTCCGCGTGCACCCGTGTCCCCGCAGGACGACCCCTGCCCCGCAGTCGCCGCCGCTTGAAAGAGACGGGCCGGGGGTGGGTAGAAAGGCGCCAGGCGCCCTTGGAGGAGAAGGTCCCGCGTTTGCCCGTCTGCCCGCGGATGTTAGCGGAGTTTTGCCGCTGCTTCGTCCGGGGTCTCTGGGCAAACACGTCCACCCGAGCGGGGCTTGTCGCCTCCGGCACGCAACGAGCGCTGCCCTCGGATTCCCTGTCCGGTTGCCCCCCTTTTGAGGGCGATGGCAGTAAACTGTTCCCGTAGCAGCGGCTGCTCCTCTTTCCCGGCTGGGCTGGTGAACGAGGCTTCGCAGGGCACCTTCGGCTCAGCAATTCTCTCCGCCGGAGCAGCTGGTCCTGGGAGGCCAGCCCCTCTGCCCGGAGGGGCTGGAGGGGAGGGGGCTCCGGTCCGGCCTTCCAAAGCTGTGAATTCGTCCCTCTCGCTGATACGCCTGAGGCGCCCCTGGTTGCCTTGCTGGCTGGTTCCTCCACCACAGAGCGAAAGACGCGCTTCCCTCGAGGAGAGCAGGGGATGCGGGTCCTGAGGCAGCCAAGTCCCCCCAAATGCTCGCAGTCCCACCTGCCAGCCGGACGGTCACCGCGCTCCCCTCTGGACTCTGCCAGCGCCTGTGCCCTCCAGAAGGCAGGAGGGTCACCCGGGCGGTTTTGTTTTTAGCAAACCTGAGAGGAGCACCAGGGTGGGGAAAAGGGAACACGTGACTACGCAGGAGCTGTTCTGGGATTCTTTCCTGCTTCTTGTGCAATCTCACGCCCCTCCCGAGAAGGGACACCTTGACCCCCATTTGGGACTTGCGCCTGACAGGGGCCTGATGGAGCCCAGAGCTTTGGAAGTCATTCATTCTTCCAGGCTGCACACGAAGGACATGAAGAGCTTCCAGGCTCTTGAGAAGGGGGGGGGGAGAGGCCAGCCTGATGAGGTCTCTGCTCCATCTGACCCTGGAGTAGTGGGGTAGTTGTGATTGCAGGGAAGCCAGGCAACAAATTACAACTCTGGCCTGGCGGGTTGATTCAGACCGCCCTGAAGGAGGACAGAACCCACGTGAAGTTGTGATAACATTCAGAGCCAAAAACAGCCCCCACCCCTCTTCGGAGAACCCAGGAGTTCCCACCAAAGAGAGGGCGAGGGTGCAAAGGCTGGTCTGAACACAGCTCAGATCTGGCTTTTTAATCAGGGCCAGGGGAGCCCCCTGAAATGCAGGTCCCGGGCCGCATCCTGATACTTTCCTTGGTGCTCTGGGCAGAAGTAACTGGCCTGCTTCAGTCACAGTTCAGCAGAACACCCCACTAAGTACCCCAAGGTTTAGTGAACCATAAACCACTGTTGGCTCCAACAAGGGGACAGGCCAGGAAGAAGTAACTGGGGTTTAGTAAATCTAGAATCATTTTAATCCCAATCCAGATTGAATCCATACAGTCCATACAGTCTTAACTCTGCAAAGCCTCGTTCACCAGCCCAGCCGGGAAAGAGGAGCAGCCGCTGCTATGGGAACAGTTTACTGCCATCGCCCTCAAAAGGGGGGCAACCGGACAGGGAATCCGAGGGCAGCGCTCGTTGCGTGCCGGAGGCGACAAGCCCCGCTCGGGTGGACGTGTTTGCCCAGAGACTCCGGACGAAGCAGCGGCAAAGCTCCGCTGACATCCGTGGGCAGACAGGCGAACACGGGACCTTCTCCTCCAAGGGCGCCTGGCGCCTTTCTACCCACCCCCGGCCCGTCTCTTTCAAGCGGCGGCGACTGCGGGGCGGGGGTCATCATGCGGGGACACCGGTGCGCGCGGAAAGAGGGGCGGGCGGGAGAAGCTCCTCTCCCTGCCCCGCCCCGGGGGGGTGTGTCTTCCCCTTCTCCCGGTACAGGGAGCTCCGCGGCGCTGGGCGGGCGCCAAAGACAACGCTCAGGGCTCGGTCGGAACCGTCCGGCGCGCCCGATCCGATGCTAGCGCAGCGGCTGTGCGCAGCTTCGCTCCAGCGGCGGCCTTCCAAGCCATGGCCTTTCCCTTCCTGAGGCGACGCGGGACTGGGGCCGCACCGGCGGCAGCAACTCCCAACAGCCCCAGCCTGGAAGGGAAAGGCAGGCGGCAGCGACTCCCAACAGCCCCAGCCGGGA